GCTCGGGCATGTGTCCAGCAGGCATTTCCAACAACATTTTTAAGACCCAACTCCCACAGGTGGCCCCAGGTGGAGCCATCCGTCCCCACCTCAATAGAAGGCAGTTACTCCAGCCAAAAATCTTGGGGTCACCTTGGCTCATGTTTCTCTCACAGTCCATATCCAATCTGTCAGCATGTCTTGTCGGGTCCATCTGCAAAAATGTATCCAGAATTTTATGCAGTGGAATATTATTCAGCCATAAAAAAGAAGGAAATCCTGTCCTTTGCAGCACCATGGATGGAACTGGAGGTTATCATGTTAAGTAAGCCGGGCACAGAAAGACAAATATCACATGTTCTCACTCATATGTGGCAGCTAAGAAAAAGTGGATTTCATAGAGGTAGAGAGTCCAATGATGGTCACCAGAGTCGGAGAAGAAAATCAGCAGATGAAGAGATGTTGGTTATTGGGTACAAAAATAACAATACAATTAGGTAGAGGAAATAAGATCTAATGCTCAAACAAGAAAAAAAAAAAAACAAAGAAAAAATCTAATGTTCAATAGCACAACAGGATTACTACAGTTAAAAATAATTGTGTGTGTGTGTGTGTGTGTGTGTGTGTGTGTGTGTGTGTTTTAATATAGAGATGGGAATCTCACTATGTTGCCCAGGCTGGTCTGAAACTCATGGGCTCAAGCAACTTTCTCATCTTGGCTTCCCAAAGTGCTGGGATTACAGGCATGAGCAACTGCCCCTGGCCAATAATGTATCATGTATCTCAAAATCGCTGGAAGAGATTTGGAATGTTCCCAACACAGAGAAACGACAAATGTTCAAGGTGATTATATGCTAATTATCCTGATTTGATTATTATACATTGTGTGCATGTATCAAAATATAATGCTGGGCCGGGCGCGGTGGCTCAAGCCTGTAATCCCAGCACTTTGGGAGGCCGAGGCGGGTGGATCACGAGGTCAACAGATAGAGACCATCCTGGTCAACATGGTGAAACCCCGTCTCTACTAAAAATTACAAAAAATTAGCTGGGCACGGTGGCGCGTGCCTGTAATCCCAGCTACTCAGGAGGCTGAGGCAGGAGAATTGCCTGAACCCAGGAGGCGGAGGTTGCGGTGAGCCGAGACTGCGCCATTGCACTCCAGCCTGGGTAACAAGAGCGAAACTCCGTCTCAAAAAAAAAAAAAAAATATATATATATATATATATATATAATGCTTACATCATAAGTATGTGCAAACATTATGTATGCATAAAAGTTAAAATTAGCTGGGTGCATCTGTAGTCCTAGGTACTTGGGAGGCTGAGTCTGTAGTTCCAGGTAGAGGCTGACGCAGGAGGACTGCTTGAGCCCCGGAGTTCATGACTAGCTAAACAACATAGACTCTGCCTCAATTTCAAAAAAAAAAAAAAACCTGTAATCCTGGCATTTTGTGAGACCAAGGTGGTTGGATCATTTCAGGTCAGGAGTTCGAGACCAGCCTGACCAACATGGCAAAATCTCATCTCTACTAAAAATACCAAAAACAAAAGGCAAGGCAAGGTGGCTCATGCACTTTAGGAGGCCGAGGTGGGTGGATCACGAGGTCAAGAGTTCAAGACCAGCATGGGCAAGATGATGAAACACTGTGTCTACTAAAATTACATAAAAATACAAAAATTAGCCAGGTGTGGCAGCGGGCATCTGTAATCTCAGTTACTCAGGAGGCCAAGGCAGAGAACTGCCTGAACCCAGGAGGTGGAGGTTGCATTGAGCCAAGATAGTACCATTGCACTCCAGCCTGGGTGACAGCAAGACCTCAACTCAAAAAAAAAAAAAAAAAAAAGAATAAAATAGCCAGACATGGTTGTACATGCCTGTAGTCCCAGTTACTCTGGAGGCTGAGGCAGGAGAATCACTTGAACCCAGGAGGCAGAGGTTGCAGCGAGCTAAAACTGCACCACTGCATTCCAGCCTGGGCAACAGAGAGCAATTCTGTATAAAAAAGAAAAAAAGTATATCTTGTAAATAGTTTATTTTAATGTAGCCATAATTTAACCACTTCTTTCATTGATAGCTTCTCTCTTCTCTCCCTCTTTTCTTCTCCATTGCTCTTAATATCTATCTATTGCCATCTCAGGACATTGTTTGATTTTCTCCCCAGTGCATTTTGCTTTCTGAAAGTATCTTGTTTGTTCCATTCCTTGCGTGCGGATTTTCTGTCTCCCTTCCTCTAAAATGTAAGCTCCCTGAAGACAGGGACACTGTGTGGTTCACACCTGCCTAGACGAATACAAGCGAAGGCATTGCAGAACTTGCCTTCTTCAAACGTGGGCAATAACAGCTTCCAGCACCAGAAAATTGATATTCTCTTTTGCCTTCCCTTTAATTCTCTGCCTCCATTTCTAAGCTGGTTTTCTTCTGGATCTCGGTTCCGATTCTCACATACCTGAGTGCACCTTACCCTGCTTCCCTTGCTGATCTCTGTTCGTCCTTCAAAATGTTTTTGGCACATTTCATGGTAAGGCTCTGAGACAGCGCTCCAAAATGTGTCTACATATCTTCTGTTGTGGTTACTTTGAAGTTTGTTGAATTATATTGTTTTGACAGAACTGTCACATCTCAAAACGTGTTGCTGACTAAAAACATATGCAAGACCTTTTTTCATTCTTTTTTCTTTCTTCCCTTTTTGTTTTAAAGAAACTCTACCGTCATCTTGCAACTAAACGTATGGCCACAAGAGGGCACCATGAGGCCACACTTCTGCTCTATGCAAAGCGGGTGGAACTCGAGAGACCTGGTGGGAACAGTGCAAAACTCTGAGACCTTTATTCTTAATCTCTTTCTTCATTCCAAAGTCTGCCGTCCAGTGGTAACACGCCCTTTGGGGAGCAGGCTGAGAAAACCAAATACCAGTACAACATTAACAAATAATAATAAATAATAAGCTGTGAATGTCTTCCAGTTGGTAGAAACTGTAAAAGCACATTTACTCGGATATACTTTGTTCTAAGTTATTTTTATCAAGGTTGAGTAGAAGTGTATGGATCAACAGGATTGCGATGCAAACCCTGGCCGTGTATGCAGTGTCTGTGTTCTGGTATTACGCTCCATGTTCAGCACAGCACAATATGGGAATCCCTAGTCACACGTGCGTATATCTCTTGCCTCAGCCTCCCAAGTAGCTGGGACTACAGGTATGTGCTACCACACCCAGCTAATTTTTGTATTTTTAATAGAGATGGGGTTTCACCAGGTTGCCCAGGAACTCCTGGCCTCAAGTGATCTGGCCTCCTAAAGTGCTGGGATTACAGCCATGAGCCACCATGCCCCGCCTCTCCATCAATTTTATCAATGACAACCTCAAAGAGAAATTTTGACCTTCAGTAATACTGTAAATGAGATGGTTTGATGGATTTGGAAGAAGTGGGGAGAGGAGAATACAAAAAGTCTTTCAAGTCCAGGCACAGTGGCTCACGCCTATAATCCCAGCACTTTGGGAGGCCGAGGCAGGTGGATCACCTCAGGTCAGGAGTTAAGAGACCAGCCTGGCCAACATGGTAAAAACTCATCTCTACTAAAAGTACAAAAAAATTAGCCAGGCGTGGTGGCAGCTGCCTGTAATGTCAGCCACTTGGAGGCTCAAGCAGGAAAATTGCTTGAACCTGGGAGGCAGAGGTTGCAGTGAACCAAGATTGCCCATTGCACCCCAGCCTGGGCAAAAAAATGAGGTTCTGTCTCAAAAAAAAAGAAAAAAAGGAAAAGGCTTTAAATATGCACATATTGACAGTTTTCACATAAAAGGGGATGAAAAACAAAATGTTAAATAAATAAATAAGTTGCACATAAACTTTGTAAATTGCCCTTACACCGGTTTGAGACAAAGGGGAGCCTGAGACTTTGGCATGAGATAACCCTACTCAACGGTTAACTGGCTGTGTGTCATTGGAGAGATTAATTTCCCTCTCTGAGCTATCATCTTGTTTATCTCTACAATGGAGATAATAACAGTCCCTACTTCTGGGAATGTGAGGATTAGGAAATTAAATTTTTTTTTCAGACAGGGTTTCACTCTGTTGCCCAGGCTGGAGTGCACTGCTGCCATCTCGGCTCACTGCAGCCTCTGCCTCCTGGGTTCAAACAATTCTCCTGCTTTTGCTGCCCGAGAAGCTGGGATTACAGGTGACTGCCACCATGCCTGGATACATTTTGTATTTTTAGTAGAGACAGGGTTTCACCATGTTGGCCAGGCTGGTCTCAAACTCCTGACCCCAAGTGATCCACCTGCCTCGGCCTCCCAAAGTGCTGGGATTACAGGCGTAAGCCACTGTGCCTGGCTAGGAAATTAAATCTAAATCACCTGTGCATAAAATGCCAAAATGCCTACACTAATGACCATTTATTTCACATATCCCGGCTGTATGACTTAAGAAATGGCACTCTCTGGTGTCAATTTTAAAAGAAATGTCTCTCTGTCATTAAGGATTATAAACTGGGTCCCCTCTGAAGTTCCTCAAGAGATACCAGAAAAGCTTTCAATAGCTTCTAACTCAAATCAATTGATGAAAATGACTGTGGCACCTCCATCATTGCCATTTGCTCCAGACATTGCTGCCATAGGACCTGCTTTTAGACTTTGTTGGCATCGATATCAGATCACAGCTGAAATAAGGCATATTCAAAATACTTCACAAAGCACCTGAATGACATGGGTTGTGCAGAACAGCCAAGCCTGCTTGGAGTCCCATGTTTGGGCAAGAAGAAGGTGGAAGAGGGAAACTCTGGCCCCACTGCCTGCTTTCAAAAAGCCTTTCTCCAAAAGAATACAGGAGTTTTTAAAAGATAACAAACAGATACCTCAAACATTCACTGAAAGAATCACATCCACAAATTCTAATTTCAGGTCTGTATCAACCACAAGAGTCTGTGTCCAACAGGTGTAAAAGGTTTTTTGGCAAATTCATCACTTTACATACCAGTTTGCTTTTGGACACCTTTTTCATTTTATTTTTCTTTTTTCACATCAATCAGGGAATGTGCCAACATCGTAACAAAGTCTGAGGGAGGCACATCTGACACATGGCGTGAAAACCCAATCATCACGCTTATGAACTACAAAAGCATCCTGGATTTTATTACCGAGCACATTTCTGGGTTTTGCTCTGCCAAGCATCCTTTCATCCTCAGGCTGGTCTCCTTGGAGACAGAAAGCAGCTGTTCACTTCAAGACCAGAGTCTGAGTTCGTGTAGGAAGAAGACGTCAGGAAAGGGAAAAGGTTAAGGGGCCAAGGACACAGAACTTTCTCCCAGCAAGAAAACATCACTCCAGATTTCCGCTTTCATCTCACTGGCCAGGACTGTATCACAGGGCTATTCCTAGGAAGCCAGGTGGCCAGCAGGTCACCTTTCCACCCTTTATAGAAAAGGTAGGCAATGGCCGGGTGTGGTAGCTCATGCCTGTGATCCCAGCACTTAAGGAGGCTGAGGCAGGCAGATTATTGGAGGCCAGGAGTTCGAGACCAGCCTGACCAACATGATGAAATCCTGTCTCTACCAAAAATACAAAAAAGTATCCAGACGTGGCGATGCATGTCTCTAATCCCAGCTACTAGGGAGGCTAGGGTGAGAGAATCACTTGAGCCCATGAGGCGGAGGTTTCAGTGAATGGAGATCACACCACTGCACTCCAGCCTGGGCAATAGAGCAAGACCCTGTCTCAAGAAAAGGAGGCAAAGTGGAGAGTGACAGATAATGGCTTTGGGATATCAATCAAAGGTCTATCAAGGGACCCAGCCAAGAGTTTTCAGTGTTTTCTTTTACCAATTAAAGACACTAAAACACCATCACCCACTTTCACCTACTACTCTATCATTTCCTAATAAAAAGGGTATTTTAACACTGCCAAGGCCAGGCACAGATGCCTGTAATTGCAACACTTCAGGAGGCTGAGGCAGGCTTATCTCCTGAGGCCAGGCATTCAAGACCAGCCTGGCCAACAAAGCCAAACCCCGTCTCTACCAAAAATTTTTTAAAAATATATTAGCCAGATATGGTGGTGAGCGTCTGCCGTCCCAGCTACTCAGGAGGCTGAGGTAGGAGGATCACTTGAACCTGGGAGGTGAACGGTGCAGCGAGCTGAGATCACGCCACTGCGCACCCCAGCCTGGGCAGCAGAAGGACCTTGTCTCAAAAAGAATAAAAGATCCGAAAGAGGAAAGGCAATCTCAGAATAATATCTGCCCATCAGTTTCATTTTCTGCAAAATTTCCCCCATTGCTCTTAGTTTCTGAGATGTTTTCAGTGAAATGTCAGTCCCGGGAGTGGTGCTGAGGGATGGTGGCGCTGCACTAGCAGTGAGACGTGCAAACCACAGCAGTGACGGGCCTATGGCTTTCAGAGACAGAACCTGGAAAACAGTGTCCTTCGGATTTGTTCATACAAATGACCATGGAAGTAAGTCTTACTGCACACTTACATGAGTTGTCGTAATGGAGATGTACATTCTTGGACTAAACTAATACCCCTGTTTCTGTTCCAGATCATGATAAATAGTCCATTAACCCAGCAGGGACCTGAGAGTCCAACTCCTGAATGAGGAGAAGAAGAAGGTGGAGGGGAGGAGAAATGTCTTCCGAAAGGACACATGAGGGGCAGCCGTCAGCCACAGAAAGCCCTTCACAAAGGCAGCAGCAGTGGGCAGGTCTTGACAGGAAGCGCAGGCAACTGGCCCTCCCAGGACGGGGTCCACAGACTCCACTCAAGGCATCTGGTTCATGTAAAGTCCGATGGTTCTGCCACCACGGGGTCTTAGCTAACGACGCAACCATGGTGAGATGGCAGCTCCAAGGGGGTGTGCCGTCATTTCTTGTCGGTGAGTAGGTCACGTGGCTAGGGAGTTTGAATCTTTCCTTTTCCCCAAAGAAGATTTTTGTACCTGTCACGAAAAAAAAAAAAAATCCCATTTAAAGAAAACACAAATGTTACCTGGAAAAGCAGATTTGAAATCTGTCGCTAATGGTATTATAGGTTATTTTCCCCACTGAGAAAATTCTAGGCATTTCAGTTATTGACAGTGGCCCTTTAAGACTGTTTTTCTGCTAATTTTCCCTCACCCTCTTCAGTTGCATTCTGAATTTTCAAAAGTGGGACCAAGCTAGTTATGAGTGACTATAAATTTGGAGGGTAGAAGTACACATTAAAATAACCACTACCGGCCGGGCACGGTGGCTCACACCTGTAATCCCAGCACTTTAGGAGGCTGAGGCGAGCGGATCATGAGGTCAGGAGATCAAAACTATCCTGGCCAACATGGTGAAACCCCGTCTCTACTAAAATACAAAAAATTAGCTAGACATGGTGGCGCGTGCCTGTAATCCCAGCTACTCAGGAGGCTGAGGCAGGAGAACTGCTTGAACCCAGGAGGCGGAGGTTGCAGTGATCCAAGATCGGGCCACTTCACTCCAGACTGTCAATAGAGTGAGACTCCGTCTCAAAAGACACACATATATAATACATAACCACTACTTAGGTCACCGGCTGCAGCAGCTCGTGCCTGTAATCCCAGCACTTTGGAAGGCCGAGGTGGGAGGATCCCTTAAGCCCAGAAGTTCAAGACTAGCCAGACCAACATGTAAAATCCTGTCTCTACTAAAAACACAAAAAATTATCCAGGCATGGTGGTGCAGGCATGTAGTCCCAGCTACGTGGGAGGCTGAGGTAGGAGGATGGCTTGAGCCCAGGAGTGGGAGGTTGCAGTGAGCTGAGATCATACCACTGTACTCCAGCCTAGGTGACAGAGACACCCTCTCAAAAAATAAAAAAAAGGACAAAGGCCAGTAAACTTCTTCTTCAAGGCACAACTAGTAAATATTTAAGGCTCCATGGGCTACATGACAGCTCTACTAGCAAGAAGGAGCCACAGACCATACATGAAGAAATGGGCGGGGCTGCATCCAGTAAGACTTCGTTATGGACACTGACATTTGAACTTCACGTAATTTTACACAAGTCACAAAACACTACTTTTCTTTGTGTTTTTTTCAGTCACTAAAATACAAAACCTATTCTTACTTCACAGGCCAAAAGAAAACAGGTAGTGGTCCCATGGGCTGTATAGTTTGCTGATGATCCCTGAATTAGAAAATAACATAGATAAAGCACTCAGAAACAAATTTAACAAGAAACATGCAAACCTCCATGAAGACATTTAAAAGTTTCTGAAGTCACGAAGCTTAACTTAATAGAAAGATATCCCATGTTTTTGGTTAGAAAGATTCAACATCAAGAAGATGCAAATTCTTCCACAATCAATTTTAAAATGTATTACGAGTCTGCGCGCTGTGCCTCACCTGTAATCCCAGCACTTTGAGAGGCTAAGGCAGGTGGATCACCCGAGGTCAGGAGTTTGAGGCCATCTTGGCCAACATGGTGAAATCCCATCTCTACTAAAAATACAAAAAATTAGCCAGGTGTGCTGGCAGGTGCCTGTAATCCCAGCCACTCAGGAGGTTGAGGCAGAATTGCTGGAACCCTGGAGGTGGAGGTTGCAGTGAACCAAGATCAAACCACTGCATTCCAGCATGAGTGGCACAGCAAGACTCCATCTCAAATAAATAAACAAAATGTATTGTGATCCAAATTAAAGATTATTTTTTTCTTGAATCATACAGCTGACTCTAAAGTTGATATGAAAAGATAAGCAAGATTAGGTCTGGAAAACTCAGAAAGAGAAGAACAGAAAGGAAGTAGCTGTACTAGAATGTAAAACACTATACCTATCAGCAACTAGCCACTGTGGCATCAGCACACAAGCGGACAGAGAGAACCGTCCAGAAATATTAATACACCCAAATGAACCCAGGATTTACTGTGCGCTGAAGGCAGCATATCAAATCAGGGTGCTAAAGATGAAGTTTTTAAGAAATGGTGTTGGGCCATAAAGACAAACAGATCCAAACCTCATACGCATCAGAATAAAAAGCACTCCAAGGAAATCAAATATTAAATGTAAGAAATGAAACCATATAACCTAAAATGGGGGAAGCCAGACCGTACACAGTGGCCCATGCCTGCAATCCCAGCACTTTGGGAGGCTTGAGGTGGGAGGATCACTTGAGCCCCAAAGGTCAAGGCTACGGTGAGCTGTGATCACATCATTGCCCTCCAGGCTGGGTGACACAGTAAGATCCTATCTCAAAATAAAATAAAATAAAATAGGGAAAGACATTCTAAAAATAATTTAAAATCCAGACTGTTAAAAAAAAAACTCATGAATTCAAATGCATAAAAATAATTTGCTTATATATTTTTTTTTACTCAATGATCAAAAGAAAAAGATGAACTGGAAAAACATGATTGTAACACATCACAAAGATTAATTTCCATAATCTATAAAAGAAATTCTGAGGTAAATTCCAAAGTGTTCTAGAAATTCTAAAGGAAAAGACCAACAACCCAATTTGGAAAATGGGCAAAGGACATGAACTGAGAGGTCACAGAAAAATACCAATAGCCCTTTAATCTGGGAAAAGACCCACACTGTTGGTGAGGCATGGGAAATACGCACCCCCATACACAGCTGGTAAGAGAACAGAACAGCATAAACCCTGAGGAAGGGGAATTTGATGGGAACTACGCAAATTACTGAAGCAGTTACCCTTGACAGGATGCACTTCTGGGAATCCCGATTGGAAACAAGTAGGGTGTACATCCACCCTAGAGACTACAGGAAAGAAAGAACAATAGTGGTCTCTACATAGAGTAAGGCGTGAGCTGCAGGATATATTAAGTGAAGAAAGGCCCAGAACTGTGGCTCAGGCCTATAATCCCAGCACTTTGGGAAGCCGGGGTGAGTGGATCACCTGAGGTCAGGAGTTCAAGACCATCCTGGTCAACATGGTGAAACCCTGTCTCTACTAAAAATACAAAAAAAAAAAATGAGCCAGGCGTGGTGGTGCACACCTGTAATCCCAGCTACTTGGGAGGCTGAGGCACAGAATCACTTGAACCCAGGAGGCAGAAGTTGCAGTGAGCTGAGATGGCCCCACTGCACTCCAGCTTGAGTGACAGAGTGAGACAATGTGTCAAAAAAAAAAAGTGAAAAAAGCAAGGTGTGTGCTACTTTT